CAAGCAATTGATGGATAGTTGAAATTTTAGTATTAGTATATACTCTTTGGTATTTGTAAATTGTAAGCATCGGTAAATTAATGTTGTTGGGCAACTTGTTATTTACATGTTATTAAATTTGACTATGTTAATTTGTAAAATTACGATTGAATGTGTCATTAGTTGTATTTATATAATGTTTTTATAAATATTAAAAAATTTAATTATAGTACGAAATCGAACGGAACGGAACCCGAACCCGAACGGTTCCATAATTATATTTGGACCCGACGGTTCCATTTACTAGATACCCGAAAATTTTGGTTCGATTCGATTCTCTTTAGAGCTGAACCGCCCTGCTCCCACCTCTAGCTAAAACTAGTAATATGGAAGAGAAAAAATTAATTATTTATACATATATACACCTTCACATTTGAATACTATATTTAAAGCTCCTAAACTAACATCCATTTCACACAAAACATAAATAATTGCGTGTAAACAAAAGGGAGAAGCTGACCCCAAGCTCTTCAGCTTCACACAAATCAAGATGTGCATCAACAGCATTGCCAGATAGGCCCGGAAAGTACTTAAAAAACCTCGGAATAAGATGAGCAGCTAATTGTCTTGCTTTTACGTTGCTACTCTCGGCCGTCTTTATAATATTCTCATAGTCCTCTGCGTGCTATACAAACAAATAAAAAACCACATACATTTAAAACAAAAAATCCGGATTTAAAATCGAATGGAAAACAATTAAGAAACCTAGAAGAAGAAATAGGAAAGACTATAATATTGGTTCAATTGAAGCAAATTACGGAACCTAAGACTTGTCTTTGGCCTCGTTCAGTAGTTCTCCGTACTCGTAGAGCTTCTCGATGTCGTTGCCGTCGTCGGAGGTTTCTGCTTTTGCTTTGCAGTGCGTGTGTGTGCAAGTCCAACCTGCAGATATAGAATAATCGTTGAGTGAATCGGGTAGAGAATATGTAAGACCTTGGGGTGTAAAATTGGAGGAAGGATTTGAGTTGGCAGAGACGAAGAGGAGAGAGACAAGATTGTAGTGGTACTACTCGGATAATATTCAAATTGTTTCACACTGATTGAAAATCCAAGTCGTTAATTAGTTTACATAAAGCAAAATGTTTAAAAAAAAAAAAGTTAACCCCAACTTTGAGGGCTCTCACCGTTCTGCCCCTAGAGTTTTGTGAGGAAGGTAAATCGCGAGATGTGCCCTACACGTCAGGGAACAAGAGTTGTCTATAAACTGTGTTTACAAGAAGTTCAATTTCATATCTCAGAAATCGAACCCTCACACTGCGGCTTCTAGTAAAGCGTGAGATAACCTCACTCTTATCCTTTACACCACTAGACTATGCTCCGAAATGCTAATAAAGCAAAATGTTAATATAGGGAGAGATGAATAAGAAAATTTTAATTTTTAAATAAAAATAAAATAGTAATTAAATTTATAAAGAATAAAAAATTCGTACATAAAGTGAAAGAGAATCCTCCAAATTGCTTACATTATTATAAATTTACATCCAAGTTACTACTGCATTGTACGACAGATAGGGTATCCTGCAGTCAGAAGCTCTCAAGCAAGCCCCGGTAAATAACACTTCTAACCCTTCTATGCCATTCTTTGACAAGCACGAAGCTCTAAAACTAGACTATTTTTGTTCAAAGAGATTATTCAATCAAGATTGATCATGTCGTGTGTTGACCTCGAAAATTGGACATTTCACGTGGTCAATCGATAGCTACTCCACGTATTCTTTCATGTACACAATCAACGTACGATCGGACGCACACGGTCGGGACCAGCGGAGATGATGACGGTCGTATACACTCCAACGATTAAATCAGGTTTAGGTGGTCGGAACAGTACCCAGAGGTTGTACAAAATAATAATGAGGAGGAGGAGAAAATATATAAACTTGCTATGGAGTGCTACGTAATAAGAGTTTCATTACCTTTGCCTCTTGCCAAACCTTGGGTATTTATAGGTGGGATGAACCGTTGGATGTGGGACACGTGTATGCATTTGACAGTATGAGGCATCCGCTCATGGGCGTCAATCAGTCGCGTCTGTAGAGTGGGCAGACAGTTTGTTTCTCCCGAGTTGAGTTGACATAAAGTTGATAAGTCATATCAACTAGCCTCATGGAGACGTCAAATCAATTTAAACCTTAGATGCATAGAGAATCTTGGCAAAAATCTCTTTCTGAAATTGACGGCGGATCTTCTAATAGAGGGCTACCTCACCTCGGCTTCAGGGGCGAGGGGCTTCGGTCAGTTCAGTAGGATCGTCTATGTCTCTCAGTGTGCTATCAGGTTGTTGACATTGGTGAAATCACTTCGGAAATACTTTGGATGGGTGTCTATCAGGTCGGTATGTGTGGTGGTAGCCATTCCGAAGCGGTTCAGATAGGGGCGTAACAGTGGTCCCCCAAGCCCAGGTATGAATATTTATATCATGGGTGGACTTGCTTTCCTGACCAGATGTAAATGCCTCGGTACTGGGGACCGCGATTCGTGGGAGCTCGTGGGTCGATTTTTTGCAGTAATTGAAGCCATGATCTTAGCAAAGATGCGCCAAAACTTCGTTACTGCGTAAGGGAAATAATAACCGATGTGAGGTCGAAGCGCTGCAAGACTGGACGATTAGTAGGAAACAAGGTCAACACGACAACCGAGGCTATGACCCACAGGGGACTCGCGTCAGGCGTGCCTAAGCCTAAGCTTTATAAAATTGAGTGAGGAGCTCATCTGCCGTCGGTGTGCTGACCCACAGGGGACGACGCATTGGGAGATGACTAAAATTTTGTAAAGCTTAGGAGGGAACGCAGCGGCCGAGGCGATGAACCACAGGGGACTTCGCGTCAGGTGCGTCTAAACTTTGTAAAGTTGAGTGAGGAGCTCATCTGCCACCGATGCGCTGACCCACAGGAGACGACGCATTGGGAAATGACTAAAATTTTGTAAGGCTTAGGAGGGAACGCAGCAGTCAAGGCGATGACTCACATGGGATTTCGCGTCAAGTGCGTCTAAACTTTGTAAAGTTAAGTGAGGAGCTTATCTGCTACCGGTGAACTTACCCACAAGGACGACGCGTTGGGAGATGGCTAAAACTTTGTAAAGTTTAGGAGGGAACGCAGCGGCCGAGACGATAACCCACGGGGAACTTCGCGTCAGGTGTGTCTGTAGAGTGGGCGGACAGTTTGTTTCTCCCGAGTTGAGTTGACATAAAGTTGATAAGTCACATCAACTAGCCTCATGGAGACGTCAAATCAATTTAAATCTCAGATGCATAGAGGATCTTGACAAAAATCTCTTTCTGAAATTGACGGCAGATCTTCTGATAGAGGTCCACCTCACCTCGGTTTCAGGGGCGAGGAGCTTCGGTCAGTTCAGTAGGATCGTCTATATCTCTTAGTGTGCTATCAGGTCGTTGACATTGGTGAGATTACTTCGGAAACACTTCGGATGGGTGTCTATCAGGTCGGAATATGTGGTGGTGGCCATTCCGAGGAGGTTCAGATAGGGGCGTAACATCATGAATTAACTTTAGGGCTGAACATAGTCTAGTTCGATTAGGTTTTAATGAGAATCCAATCGGACCCAAAAATTTTAGGTATTTAACAAGTGGAACTGTCGGATTCAAATTTAATTATGGAACCGTTTAGGTTCGATTCCATTCGATTTCCAGGTTTCGTATTATAATTAAATTTTTTAATATCTACAAAAATATATTAATTCAACTAACGATACGTTCAATCTTAACTCTTACAAAATAATGTAGTCCAATCTTATGTATTTTTGCGTCTCTTTTTACTGAGTTTTTCATAAATTTAATTGCTAAAATCATAAGAAGGGGAAGATAGCGAACTCACAATAATTAAAAGAGGCGATGTTGAGATTCAATTCGATTTCTCCAGAACAGTAGAAACAGCACTACAGTAGAGTAACGGATTTGGATAAAATTTAGGTCAATTTAATTAAGTTGGCTTTAAACCGAAAATTAGAAATAGAAAAATCAAATTTTTGTGTTTAAGCTAAATTAACTAGTTAGCAAATTTATTTAGAAAAAATAAAATAATTTGACTTATTTCAAAATTAATTAATTAAAAAATAGGGAGATTTAATTTTTATTTGGTTATTCGGTTCTTAATTTAGAATCAAGAACCGAATCGAATCTGTCGGTTCTCAATTCAAATACCCGTTCGGAGCATTTAACTAAAAAAGAACCGCTCAGCTCAGTTCGATTCGATTTGATTCGGGAACTTTTGTCCAGCCCTACTTAATTTGATATTGAAACTAGAGTTGGTTAACTAAGTTAAAGGGTAACCTAACTCCATTATCAAGTCTCTAATCAACGAACGGATAAATCATTCCGAAGCTAGCACGATTGCACTTGATTTTCAGTTGATTACCTCCGTTGTTATCGTCATGAATGTAATACAAAGTGCGTGATTTGTTATTTTCAATTATGGAAACTATGATCTATTTAACTATTTTTATTGGTAAAACTATAATTATTTAGCAGAAGATATTTTTTGTTACCATACGATAAAATAGTGTAAAGTTAAATTTTAAAAATGCGATATATAAATTGTACGCCGCGTCTTTTGTTTAACTGCACCATAATTTAATTGCAATGAACGTCCCAATATTTTCTCATTTTCTCAATTATGACCCAATTATTTTTAGACACATTCATGTCTTCAATTTTATTTCTAATCATGATTTTCGTCCAAAAATTTGTTAGGAGGCATAAAAAGAATTTATTTGCCTCTCATATTTTAAACAAACAAAATAAAAAGGTTTGATTAAAAAAATGTCTTCATTTCAATGCATATTAGTAGAGTATTTTGAACAACAATCGTCACTATAGACAAAATGTAGTAATTTAATTTAAGATTAACGATAAAAATAAATAAATAATTTGAGGACATAATTGTATCAATCCCTAGATAAATAAAGATCTATGTGTTGGAAATTTGCAGTATGTAGTTCAAAAATAATGCAATCAAAACCAGGCCTGATTATTATTCGAAAAAGGGTAAAAACATGTCCATCCTATTGCGCAAAATTTATAACAAGAAAAAGGCCAATCTATACTCTTACAATTTCCTAGATAATTTAAACTACAAAACAGGCATATCTAATGCCTGCAAGACATCCTTGAACTCAAATTCACGGGTTTCTTTGTTGAAACGCTCTACCAGTTTGTACCTGACATCATTCAAGTAAAATGATTGTGCAGTCTCAAGAAGCCATTTTGCCTCTGAGTCAGTCAGCTTGCTAGTAAACACAATATCTCCACGAATAAGCACTAATTCCTTGCTTTCTGCAAATTCTGTATAGTATGAAGCAGTGAAGTATGGAGCAGCTTGAGTTCCTCTTGCCTTGTAATCTTCAAGACCAGTGAAAAGCATGTGTGGCATCTGAACTGCACGACATTTCCAATACATAATTTTAAGCGGCATGAAGCATTTATACTCGTTCAAAATCGACAACAGGTGAATTGCAAGAAAAAAAAGTCAATTCAGGTCTAACCTTGCAAAAACATGGTTGTATAACCATTTCCTTTCCACATTGGAATCACAAAATAGCGGCTACAGATAAATGTTAAGAACGTCAACAAACGAGGAAGGATGACATAATCAAAAACAATAATCAGGAAGGCGACATACCAATCCACAGCTCTTTGCTTTAATAGATGGTACAATGTTGCTTTCATTGATGCACCAATATGGCCTCTTCCCAAGTGATACTGAAAAAAGTATAGCCCAGACAACGGTCAAGCTATTAGTAAAGATAATTGTGAAAAGTTCACTAAAGAAAAAGATTGAGAGAGGTAATCGCTATTTTAGTGGTCATTGATTCATAGAGAACTACAAATATGCTAAAAAGTGAATACATATAGCAAACAATTGAGATAAAACAACAAGCATACATAGTTTGTCATTCACCCACTACAAGGGATGCTTACAATACAAATCATATAAAATCCTTCCTAAAATTTTAGGAAGTAATATCAAAATTCTGCTTTAGAGGGTGCTTGAGCCCCATTGTTTTATGGAAAATTGAATTTTAGAATAATAGATTGATGAAGAATGTGTGGATGAAAAATTAGGAAAAATTTCTGATTTACGTGTAATATTATTTTAATAAAAAATGTGTAGTTAAAAAAAAAAGAGAAAAATGTATTTCGATAAAAATGAGAATCAAACAGGGCCTTAATCTCCTTTGAATTCGGTCAACGCAATCAAGACATTTATTGTTCACCCCAGTAAAGGTATTAATGGTTCATCCTCTAGCAATTGAACTTTTAGCGATAAGGAGGTAACAAAGTACACTTAAAAGGCCTTGTAAACACGGTTGATAATTAAATAGATTCTCCTAGAAGATTCGTTAATCTAAATGAACACATCTGCTAATGAGCCTAAACCTTTAATTGGTTTAAAAATATCACTTTATGATGTAATATAATTATATTTATATTAGTACGTTAAAAATAAAAAAACTGTCAAAATGTGAGTAGTCTAGTGGGGAAAACTTCAATAGGGTATAAAGAATTACATCATCCCAAATGTCCGCGAGTTCTTCAGTTGATTTATTCTGTGCCCTCTCTATATCAATAATCGACTCCAAGGGCTTTGGTTGCAATGGTGTGAACCCAGTTGCAAAGCTTGATGTCCTGCACAAACCAAGCGAACCCCACTTCAAGAATTCACCGGGAATTGTAGGCTTCTGCACATTGTCAAAAATTCTTCGCAAAGTTGAGACGGTAGTATAAGACTGTTTCAAAATTCTAAAAAGACCAGGATCGTCTCCACTCAGAGCTGCAACAGAAGACAATATCCTCCTACAATACTTTGATCCTAGACCTTGCATTATATGCTTTTCTGCAATACAAAAACCCCATCTTTGAACATCTAATAGCAGGCAAATGGTTAAATACAAGAAATAAAACCTTTCCATTTTTTTCTTAATTTGTAAAAGCAAGCAAATGTCAAAAACTTGCAAATCTCAAGCACCGATCAGACTTAGCTTCTCCCAACTTTCCGCCCCTGGCGATCAAGCTAAGGTTGGCATAAACAAAATTAACTAATGCAAGATTAGTACATTAAAAGCTGAAGGGAGAGATGAACGCGCAAGAAGAACTAATTAGAGCTCTTTCAAGAATTTTATCAAACAGTAAGTCAGCGCCATATCAGCAACTCACGAAATTCGCATAATCAGAGTAAAACTGTAAAAAAAAATCTGACGTCAAAGAGAGTTCGATTGCCAAGGATTTTCGACTCGTGCACCATCGAACTTAAAGCCAAGAGAAAGCACTGTTACATGCTATTTATCCGGAGAAAATAGGAAAGAGGCGCTGTAAGAGTAAAGTTCATCTATGGTCCATGAGCTTTAAGTGAAATTCCAATTGAGTCACTAAACTCTTATTTAATTTCAATCTTTGTCACAATTCGTTAACTATCATTTTTGAACTCACGAAGTTACTTAATTGACCATCATATCGTAATTGAGCTTTCACCAAAGTGGCACTCTGAAAACAAAAATAGGAAGAATTGAGGTTATGAACCAAAACAGAAAGAATTGAGGTCTATGATTTTATAATAAAAGATTAAAAAAGGTGTACACTTTTATGACAATGACAGGAAGAAAAATTGGTTATCAATTATACAGTTTTAATCGAGGGACTGAACGAGACAAGGTGATGAATTATGAAAGCAAAATTGAAGTTCAATTACTCAATCAAAACCAAAAGTATGTTTGGGACGGTCTATAAATAGTTATATTATAAACATATAGAAAGAGTGGTGAATAAATAAATAGTACTTGTGAGTCCCCAAAACGTGTGAAAAATAATGAAATTAATTTGCAAGTACAGACTTTTTTAACAGAAATTGTATAAAAAAAACAGTTGTCTTCCTGTAATTTACTGTTGTCCAAAATTGTTTTTGACAACAACCAATTACAAGAAAACAACTGTCTTTCTGTACCATTTTTGTAGAAAAAATCTGTACTTATAGCATTGCTGAAAATAATGACTCGAGTGTTCGTAATGATTTATAAACATGAGCCAAAATAAATTGGATTGAAGTTCAATTGTTGAAAATTTTCTAGAATGTTGTGCGGTAATTTAGATAGCGAATAAGTATTCGGGCAGAATTTCGACTTACAAAATTAGCGCAATAAATTAGAATGAATAATGGTCGAGACAAGAGTTCGACTCTTTCTCCTTAAGACGAAAATGCCCCGTACTGGTGCTGACGGTCTCCTGGCACTCGTCTCCCAAGATACAACGATCTGAACTTGTAATAGCAGCACTCCAAATTACAAAACCCGACAAACCTACTAATATTTGATTTCTCGAGAATCGGAGGACTAAAATGCACGAAAATAATATTTGGGATTGGAATGCAAATATATGGAATATTGCGAACGGAAGGACAATATTGCAGAAGAAGGGAAGTAGAATAAATTTTCTGGAGTGAATAAAACTGGGGATCTGGGGTCTATTTATAGAAGTTGAAATGTTATGTCCAAAAGACACAACAGCCGAAAAGTTGTGTCTTGGAACGGACATAACCCATTTGGACAGGCAGTCAAAACTATCATCAACCGCTAGTTTCTAGGAAAATCCACATGTCTCGCACAGAAAATTCGAAGAAGAAAAAATAAATAATATAATAAAAATATGTTATTTAATTAATAAAATAATATAATTAAAATATTATTTTACCAAAAATATGTATACCAACTAGGCCAAGCCCACGACCACACCCCGGACCCGTGCACGTGCTCGTACCTTATTGGTCGGACAACGGCGCCGCACATGTGGGCTTTAGCTGAATCTACTAGAATGTAAGTCATCTCCCCTCTAAAGACTAATGGTACCCCTTGGGGTCCAAACCCAAGTCTTTAATTTGAGTTATATAAAGTGGTTTCTATTCTTCTAATTTTCCTATGTGAGATTGGTATTTTTCAAATTTCCACCAATTTTATTTCCAATTTATTTTAACTTCAAGTGATCATCTTTTGACTTTAATTTCTCATTCGCCCTTAATTAGTTTTGAGAAATAAATATATATATCAATTCTACTTATAGAGTAGAATGCACTTGGCCAAATAAATCATTTATCCAACTAACGGGATCCACTTAAATAATTGGTCAAAAGTTGGTCAAACCAACTAATTATTTCAATTTTCCAACAATCCCCCACATGAATAGAAATTAATGCAATAGATGATGCAAACCCTAACGAGAGATCAGGCGGAAAGTTATTGCATCTGGATAGGTACCTTGTGGGTTTGAACATTCCATAGTAGTATACTATTGGATTTACTTGGCTAATCAGTGAACGTGATGTCTTGAACTATCAGACGTTATTGTAAACCAAGACAATAGTATCAACACAATAACCTCCCTAATATTTTTGAGTTCTCACTATCGTGTTCATTTTGGCCCTAAACAACTATTGGATTTCATAAGTATTTTAGAGAATTCAAACCCTTGAAACATTCTCATGGAAAAGGCTCCACTTCACACTTATATAGGTGATTTCCTATTAAGAGTATCTGTCATACTCCACTTGGATAGTTCAAGATATAGGAATAATTAAAAGCATATCTTAACCTAAAACTTTCTACAAATAGCACTTCTCTTATCATAGGAATGGGTAGGAGTAATCTCCGAAGTGCTTTTTGAATCTTCATAACTTAGATGTCCCATTGAACCAATATCTTGGGGTCTCCAATTAGTAAGGTTGGGTTATTATTATAAAGATTCTTACTTAGTAGGCTTTAATTCCATTTCCTTGATAGGCAGTATATTTGATCTCTTGGTAAACCTTTTGTGAGCGGATCCACGAGATTTTCTCTAGATTTTACATAATCTATGGAAATGACACCATTCGAGATCAACTGCTTAATTGTATTATGTCTTCAACGAATATGTCGAGATTTACCATTATACATACTACTTTGTGCTCTATCGATAGCCGACTGACTATCACAATGTATACTAACTGTAGGCACAGGTGTAGGCTAACGTGGAATATCCTCTAAAAAATTACGAAGTCATTATATTTCTTCTCCAGCTTTATCTAAAGCTATGAACTCTAATTCCATCGTGGATCGAGTTATACACTTTTGTTTAAATGATTTTCAAGATACGGTCGCACCACCGATGGTAAAGATATAACCACTAGTGGATTTTGAGTCTTTTGTATCTGATATCCAATTAGCATCACTATATCCTTCTAATACAGCTAGATATCTTGTATAATATAATCCAACATTTGAGATGTATCGTAGATGTCTAAGATCCCTTGTCATACCTTTCAACGATCATTATTTGGATTACTTGTGAATCTTCTAAGCTTGTTCACTGCATATGCTATATCCAAATGAGTGCGGTTGGTAATATACATTAGACTACCTATTATTCGAGAGTACTCCAACAGAGATACGGGCTTGCCTATATGTTTGGTCAAATGTAGACTTAAGTCTACTGGAGTTTTAAATGGACTTTCATTATATACATGAAATTTCTTAAGCACGGTCTTAATATAGTGAGATTGAGATAGAACAAGTTCCTTAGATGTCTTAAGGATTTTAATTCCTAATATTACATCTGCAATACCCATATCTTTTATGTCAAAATGTTTTGTCAACATTTTCTTGGTAGTTAGTATGATATATGATTACTACTCATTATTAGCATGTCATTAACATAGAGACATACAATTACATATGCACTGGGTGTGATTTTAATATAAATATATTTATCACATTCATTAATCTTAAAACCGTTTGACAGCATAGTTTTGTCAAATTTTCATGCCACTGCTTTGGTACTTGCTTTAGTCCGTATAGTGATTTAACGAGTCTACACACATTTTTCTCCTGTTCAGGAGCAGTGAACCCCTCAAGTTGTTCGATGTAAATTTCTTCACTTAGCTTTCCATTTAAGTAGAATATTTTAACGTCCATCTGATGGATCTCTATATTATGCAATGCTGAGATTGCAATTAATATTCTAATGGACGTTATTCTTGTTACCGGAGAGTATGTATCAAAAAAATCAAGACCTTCCTTTTGTTTGAATTCTTTAGCTACCAATTTGGCCTTATATTTATCAGTTGATCCATTAATCTTTAATTTTCTCTTGAAAATTCATTTACAACCTAACGGTTTGTTATCTGGTTGGAGATCTACCAGCTCCCATATATAATTCTGCATAATATAATCAATTTCACTATTGATAGCCTCTTTCCAGAATGAAGCTTCTGGACTTGACATAGCTTCATTGAATGTCCTAAGTTCATTTTCTAACAAATAAGTTAAAAATTTTGGACCAAAGGATGTAGTTGTTTTGGACCTCTTACTACGTCTTGGTTCTTCATCACTTTGATGATTACCAATTGTAGTATTATAAGTTCGTTTTTGTGAACTAATCTCTTTCATATCCTTACAAGGAAAAATGTCCTCAAAAAATACACCATTTCTTGCTTCAATAATAGTATTTTCATGTATGTCTGGAATGTCGGACTTATGTACGAGGAATCAATACGCACTACTATTATTGGCATATCCAATGAATACACAATCGATGGTTTTTGACCCTATTTTAACTTGTTTAGGTTTTGGTACTTCTACCTTAGCCAAACACCCCCACACTTTCAAGTATTTGTACGAAGGTTTATGACATTACTCCCAGGTCGGACAATCCCGCCGTTATCTCATAAAAATATCATGATTACCCCCTGTCACATCACCCTATCAATCAAATACACTTGCCACAGGTGACATCATCACCACCCCGGAACAACTAATCCTAAGTCCTCAACCTCTAGCCCCTTGCAGGTCATCATTACCTGAGGAAAACATTGACACATGGCTACTGGCCTCATCGACCAATCACAAGAGAATCCGATGACCTGAGTTTCGAGCTCGGTACTGTTGCTGATTTGAGTGATTTGATGTAATGTCGGTCGAAACTATGTATAAATAGTTGAATAGGACTCTTGTAAAGGGTAAGTGATTTCATACAACAACTCAAGGCATAATTACACTCTCTAAACATATTCTGTGGTCTTTTTTCAACAATAAATCGCCATTTTTTTCTAAAGTTGGCTTAAGATTCGTCTTGCTAATTTTGAGGTCAACAGAGGTAATTTCTCGATAATAGCGACGACCTAAAATGACTCACTAAGCTTCATACCTTCTGCATGTATATCATGAAAGATTATTTGCAGTTCTTGGACTTGATTCATCACTATTTTAGAATCTATCATCTTGAAATCTAAGAATTTACCCATAACGAATTTCTTTAATCCAACATCTTCCGTTTTATACTTCTTTTCCAATGATTCCCACAGTAACTTAGTTATATTGACTAAACTGTATACGTTGTATAGTGTGTTGTCAAGACAATTGAGGATATAGTTTTTGCACAAGAAGTCACTATGACTCCATGCATCTAATGCTGCTCGTTTTTGAGAATCCGTTTCTTCCTCCTCAACAATGGGAGCATCTTCACTCAAAAATTTTGCTAAATTCAAAGTTGTGAGATAAAACAACATTTTCTCTAGCCATCCTTGAAAATCCACTCCTGTGAATTTTTCTGATTTCTCCCCGTGAGCATTGTTTGGGGATACGACGAACGTATTGTTACTTGCCATAGTCTAAAAAAATTTCAGAATATAAATTAGTATATAAATAAAATAATTTTCGTCTTAAGATTGTTGAAAATCTTTGAGAATGTTGTGCAGTAATTTAGATAGCGAATAAATATTCGAGCAGAATTTTGACTTACAAAATTAGCGCAATAAATTAGACTGAATAATGGTTGAGGCAAGAGTTGGACTCTTTCTCTTTAAGACAAAAATGCCCCGCACTGGCGCTGACGGTCTCGTGGCACTTGTCTCTAAAGATACAACGACCTCGACTTGTAATAGCAACACTCCAAATTACAAGACTCGAGAACCTACTAATATTTGATCTCTCGAGAATCAAAGGACTAACATGCACGAAAATAATATTTGGGACTGAAATGCAAATATATGGAATATTGCAGGACGGAAGGACAATATTGTCGGGAGAAGGGAAATAGAATAAATTTTCTGGAGTGAATAAAATCGGGGATCTGAGGTGTATTTATAAAAGTTGAAAGGTTGTGCCCAAAAGACACAACAGCCGAAAGGTTGTGTCTTGGAACAGACATTACTCATTTGAACAGACAGTTAAAACTGTCACCAACCACCAGTTTCTAGAAGAATTCACGTGTCTCACACAGAAAATTCGGGGAAGAAAAAATAAATAATATAATAAAAATATATTATTTAATTAATAAAATAATATAATTTAAAATATTATTTTACCAAAAATATATATACCAACTAGGCCAAGTTCAAGCACACGACCACGACCCGGACCCGAGCCGTGCACGCGCTCGTGCCGAGTCGAGCCGACCGGTCGGACGGACGGCAGCGGCGACCCGCTCGTGTAAGCTTTAGCTAAACCTACTAGCATGTAGGTCATCTCTCCTCTAAAAACTAGTGGTACCCCTTAAGGCCCAAACCCAAGTCCTTAACTTGAGTTATATAAATTGGTTTCTATTCTTCTAGTTTTCCTATGTGAGATTAGTACTTTCCAAATTCCCACCAATTTTTATTTTCAATTTATTTCAACTTTAAGTGATCATCTTTTGGCTTTAATTTCTCATTCACTCTTAATTAGTTTTGAAAAACAAATAAATATATCAATTCCACTCATGGAATAGAATGCACTTGGCCAAATAAATAATTTATCCAACTAACAAGACCCACTTAAATAATTGGTTAAAAGTTGGTCAAACCAACTAATTATTCCAATTTTCTAACAGTTCGATGACCCTATTCAAACGAATTAATATTTAGTAACCCAAGCATTTTAAAGTTATTCCTAACCTCTTTTGTAGGGATGGACAAAAGTTACAATGATGGAATCAGATTGAAATGATCAACTCAATCTCTACTTAAGTTTTAATCGGTTCGAAATATTAGAATATAGAACTAGATTCGCCTAGAATTCTCGAGATCACTAAAATTTAGTTTTAACACCGCGGGGACTGCAATCCCGTTTCCTTGTACTCCTCTCTAGAAATTGGATCATCCACACCTCAAACTTCTCTCTCTTTTTCCTCATCCTAGTAAGTCTTTAAATACAATGGTGACTAGTAACAGCTAGTTCTGAAATTTCAAATTGTTCAAATGAATTGTGGCTTTTTTGATCCAAGTTTATAAATAGATACAGCAAGTTCATGGTTCACATTGGTGAATTTTTTTTTAATGCCAACTGATAAGTTTATTTTGTACACTTATCTAGGCCGATAAATTAGAGTATTTGTTAGAAATTTGAATGAGTTATATCTTAATTATGTGTTAATTATATTTGTGAGTTTGAACTCAATACAAATTGGTAGAATTGGAAGAAATGAACAAAAAAGGGCAAAAACAAAAGAAATCTAAAGTTTGGGGACCAAAGTGTAAACATTCAATAGTTGATTCGGACAATAAAATGATAATTGAAGATCACATATGACCAATTGGATGCAATTTAAAGGTCAAATGAATGAAATAGAGTTGAAGTATGTTTATAAATCAATTTTCAGGCGAAGAAGTTGTGCTCCAAATTTTTAACCTCAACTTGAGACCCATTTTTTGGATAGCAAATGTTCGAATTAGAAAATTGTATTTTTAGAAGAATTGTAGCTTTTTGAGTTAACTTTCTAAAACATTTTGAATCACCTAATCGGATATTGGAAGAGAAAGTTATAATCAAAATATCGAAAGCTGTTTAGAGACGGAACCACCTGTATTGGCGCTTGCGTGGGGGACAATTCCGGCACACAAGCAAGACACCAAAAATTTGACCCGAGAGCCATTTGGAGCAATGGCGCATGTGCGGGGGTTATGCTTGTGCGTGTGAAGGGGTTTTTTCCGCATACGAATTAACAGTTTCCTTTTGTGATTCAAATTCTTTTGAAATCCCAATTGGATGTGATTTTGACCAATTTTTTGGCTCTTATAAGTAGAAAACAAGGGCTACACATTAAAAAAAAAAATCATCTCTTGCCTCTTCATGCACAATAATATCATCAAATTCATCGAAAACAAGATATCAACTCATCACTTTTGAGATAGAAGATCAAGCCATAGCAAGAATTGAAGTTCAATTACATCAAGATTTTGAATATTTCAACCTTGGACTTGAAGATCAACATTTTTCGTAATCTTTCAAGATTCGGGTAATATTTTTAAATTATTCTTTTTGTAATTTATATATTAATATTTTAAGTTCGATCTGCTTTTGTATTAGATGAAGATGAACCTTATTTGTTATTTATTTCTAATTCAAAACTAGTAGTTTAGCATTTCTTTTGTTGCGTGATTAATTTTGCATACATATTGCATTATTTAATTGATTGACCATCAATTAGATAATTAGTTGCTCGTCTTAGTGTTGTGAGAGTCACAATAAGTTTAAAACACCGTAAACTTAACATATATGCAATAGATGCTAGGAATAACATTTTATCACTTATGCATTCATATAGATAATCTAAACTTTAATGCATTTTAATCATTCAAGCTGGTTGAGCTTTCTACAAAAAAAGCGATGAATTTGGCTTAGGAATAAATTCATATCGTGATTAGGATAGATTTTAATTTGTTTTGAAAAAGAAAATTATATATCATAACTTTATCGATTGTCAAAAGCGCATGAACAAAATAAATCTATAAATCAAAAAATTGAAATAAATACCAATAGGGGGATTTGAAATCCAATACAATCATCCATAATTTGCTGAAAATCAAACTTTTATAGATTTCTTAAATTAATTTAACAAAAATCAAATCAAAATATCTCTTTTATTTTATATAATTCGAATTTCATACGTAACTCGTAAACTTGAATAAAATTTATTTCCTATGGGATGATACTCTCAACTCATCAATTCTATTACTTGTCAACGATCCCATAGATTTTCGCACGAACATTGACTATACATAGATGAATTTTTAATTTTATCTTGAAATAAATTTATAGCTTATACACTTCAAGTTTATTGCATTTTTGTTGCCATAAAGTCTAAACTTTTCTTGGTTATGGTAGAACCGAATTCCCTGTCTAAAACTCCCATTTGTAAACGTTTTGGTACGATTATTGAACTCTCACTTCGTTCCGGTTTACCATTTGTAATGGAACCAAGTCGTTTTCTACATTTTGATATGATTCTTTATTTAAAAAATAAAAAATAAAAAATATTTAAAAAATAAAAATAAAAATAACTCAGATCAATCAACTTCGTGCCCATCTAACTTCTTATGTTAGGGAGACCATAATAATAAGATTTTTTTTGTAATCATTTAATATATTTTCCTAATCCTTATATATGTCAGTGCCCACCTAACTTCTTATGTTAGGAAGACCATCAATGCATTGTGATAAAAAAATAAGATTTTTTTTGTAATCATTTAATATATTTTCATAATCCTTATATATGTCAGTATATTCCACTCGCTTTGAATTGAGTAGCTTGGCTCTAAATAGCTTGCGCAAACCCTTGAGATGGGTGGTTGCAATCTCCCCGACTCTAGGGGCTCTAGGGGTGCCTGCGATGGCCCAGACAAACCCATGGGAAAAAAATAAAATCATATTCTTATTAGAAGAAGATTAGGCCTCGAATCATGCCAGGTTCAACTTAGGAGATGGTTTGCCTAGCCAGCTAACCATAGGAGTACATAAAAATGCACGATTACACAGCTGGACCGTATCAGGCTCGATGTCTGTCATCAAATCCAAGCGTGACAACAGGAAAGTCATCAACAGGATTGTATTTGGTCCGGCCACCAATGCTGTCTTCTTCCATAACTGCTTCGTCGAGGTAATCACTACACAATGTCCCCTCAACTCCTCGTTTAATTATTAAACTACTTCGTCTAGAAGTTTAAACAGCTTTATAGGGCCTAACAAGTGCACAATTTTCATAAATAGTTGGCATCAAGAGCAAGAGTCGAGCCCACAATTGTTGTCTTCTCTATAACTATTTCATCTAAAAGTTTAAGCAATCAAATTTTATCTTATAATTATTTATGAATTGTGTTGCTTGAAGGGTGTGATACATCATTAATTATAACAAGAAGAATGGGAAGCAAAGAACTATCAGAGAAGGACGCAAAGGATAATAAAGAACTAGCAGTGGAGTCATTTGATAGCATAAAAAAGGCAAAATCATTGGTGGCGAGCAAGTTTCCCTCGAGTTGTAACCTGTGCATATGTACCTGTAATTGCAGACAGAGATTCTGTCGATTTTTGGTAAGATATATTTTTGTGTTTTTCCAGTTCTCAACTCAAAAATCAAAATTAGGGCCTCAAATGGTAATCCTATTAGAATCATGGGGCATTTGCAAAAATGTCCAATTTTACATATGTCAATTTAAAAATGTCCACTCTTGATAATGTTTACGAAAATGGCCAAATTTGATTCCAAATTCTCTATTTTATCCTTGATGAAAGAATAAATGATTTCATATTGTAAATGTCAAATCACAATTTATGCTACATACAGAAATGTCGAGAACAACATTTAAAGTGTAAAAAAATATCATTGTCGGAATAAAATATCATTCTAGACATTTAATACATAGAGAACAACATTTGAAATGTCGTGAACATTTAATATTGTGATTTGATATGTGTACTTTTAAAATATAAACAGATTTAAATATCGAGAACGATATTTGAAATGTTGAGAACATCATTTAATGTAGTTCTTAAGAAAGCTACTTAGAGGTACTCTCGCCTAAATAATTACAAAAATGGACATTGAAAATTTTTAAATATTTTTGCAAATGCCGGTGTCAAAATAAACATTTTTTGTAATTTCCTCCAGAATTATTGACAGTGACATACGAACAACCATCGGGTTAATGAACTATCTAGTCAAATCGGACTAGGAGACTTGTCCAGTTTTTAACACAATAATTAGTGGAGCACATTTGATCTTCGTATTTTGTATATATTATAGGCTGGAGGTCCATATTATCGAGTGAAGAAAGTAAGGTGGGACGGAAAAATTTCCATGGCATCAATAGTCCACTCCAATTTCCCTCGAGCAAATTCAATAGTGGACGAACTTGTTCATCTCTTTAAATCCAAATGCCTAACACTCAAAGACTTAGTTGTCCTCTTAGGTGCAGACACTATTGGTTTTGCCCACTACCAAAACATTTTCTTGATCGCCTATACAACTACAAAGGCACTTAGCAACCCGATCCAAACATTGACCCGAGACTCCTAAAATCCCACAAAATGTCGTGCCCACCATTTGGAGGGATTTCTGATATTATTGCACCATTTTATATCACAACCCTTTTGTTTTTGACAATGAATATTATGGGAATTTATCAGAGACTAAATTGGGTTTGTAGGGTTTTGATCATGCTCTGTTTTTGGACCCAAGAACAAGGCCTTTGGTTTAAAATCTGGCAAAATAAAAACAAGTTTTTCCAGTTACTGCTGCGATGGATAAATTAGATTTTTATCGAACTCTTTTAGCTAAATCAAACATGACTTGATATTGGTAAGTCTTTAGCAAAAACTTGCAATGATTCTTCGAACAAGACAAAGTTCTATACCAAATCAGAGACAGAAACACGAAAAGAAACATCCGACGAAATATAATTTCAATATTAGATTTAGGCACAAAGTTTCTTCTACGTAATCGGAACCCTTTCCTTTTCGTCAGTTGAATGGTCGATGGATCCACCATTCGAATTTGAAGAACAGCTGTTTGTGCTTAAATTCTGGGAATCTACTCTAAGAGTCGATGCTGCAGCGGCTAGTATATCAGGTGGAAAATTAAGGAGAGCTTTAGACCCTCTCATCTTGAAGGCCGCATTATCATAAGCCAAAGCAGCTTCTTCAGCCGTTTCAAAAGTTCCAAGCCATATACGTGCACCATGTCGGGAGGAGTCGCGAATTTCTGCTGCGTATTTTCCCCATGGACGCCGCCTCACGCCCCTATAGTGCTTCTTTTTTATGGAATGAGCTACCTGGACGGCGTTTCTTCGGGGCAAAACTGAGCTTCCGAGGGCATTGGCCTCGCTAAGAACTTCATGAAGTACCATTTCTTGTGAATCGTTCTCGTTCAGAGGTAATTCATTTGGTCGGAATGGAGCCATTGTTTACAAATGTAAATCGCTGTATGAAACACACAGTGTATATATTTTGTGGATTGTTACAACGCGTGGGGTCGCGTGTGGAAAACTGGGCAAATTTTTCCTGCAATTCTGTCACGAAAAAGAAAGACCATAAGACCTTTGCCGACGACCTGTGTTTGGAATTCTAGAGAGCAAATGACGTGACGCAATCAGTGTCGTAACGTGTTGTCCAACAACCTTATATATTAATGTCCGGTTTAATGAGGCGGGAATTCTTTTTCTAATTACGGATTTCAATTTCGACAATTTTTAAAGAAAAATATTATTTAATATGAGGGTGCCACAGCACTAATTTAGGAGACTAGACTTGTTTAATTAAATTAATCGTGTAACCTTACATTTAAATAAATATATCATGTAATTCTCACATATTCTTTTTTAAATTAAACTATTGATAATGAACCTACGGTCATGATATTTCACGAATATGTAAAAGCTAATTAAGTATTCCATTGGAATGCTACTTGTTAAACAAGAATAGGATAAGAATTAGATAAACATTAATTCATACATATTGCAAAAAATAAAATTTCCCAATAATTAAGAAATGGTAGCCATCGTTTGTCTTTTCATTAGAGTAGCGAAATCAAAATAAAACTAGTCTTCATTAGGGTGTGAACGGCATGCCATGCACTTGCGCTGGTTGAAAAGTCTAATCCAGGGGCCCACCTTACTATCGTTTTCTTAGGAGAAAAAGAAGAAATTGATTTCACGTGGTTTGACAACACAAGATAAATGGTTGTTGGCGCAACCAAACGGGCTCTGATAGATTCGGGCTTATTGTCCGTTTTCTTTTTAATCCACCTACTTTGCATTGGCGATCAGTTACTGTTGGACTAAATATTAGGTAGTGTTTGATTGCTCCACTTTTTTCATGGTCCAGTTTTCAACTTTTGATTGTTTGATTATGTTGACACACTAAAAGTGCAGCCCAAATCGAATAGCCTAGGGAATGAAACCCAATTGAGAAATCCCCAAATCAAATAGCCAAAAGAATGAAGTCCAACTGGGCAATTCAGGATAAATGCCCAGATCGAGTTATTAATGAATGTAGTGGAAACCTACGAACACAGTAACATCATCATCCAAGTTTACAAGACGCCCAAGATCTAAGCGAATGAAGTGCCTTACAGTCGCCCAGAGCTATGACCCTGTTCTCGCCCAAACTTTCGAATCGCCCAGAATCTTAGCAAACATAAGATGTTATGGTTATCCAGAAATGCAGTTATTGAAGTAGTTATCGAGTGACCTTATCATGTTCCACGATTCAAGGAGTTCAATTGAAGACAGTTGAACGACAAAGAGTAGTGACAACAGTTAGAGAAGGCAATTCCACGACAAGTTAGCTACCATAAAGAAAGTGGTTAGTTATAAAGCAATCAAGCAATTTCTAAGCCGTTGATCACGAAGAAATCATCAAAGGAATATAAAAGGAAGAGAAGATATAGAGCAAAAGACCCCGAATCAAACACTCTCAAACAGAGAATATGTAATTTCAATTTCTTAGTTTAGACTTAAACATTTCTTTTTAGTACTCGTGTGCTTGCGCCCCTTGGAGGCATTCTATTTAGTTTCAATTGTAAAGTCATCGCCAATAAAACACCCCTTTTTATTTAGTTTCAATTGTAAAGTCATCGCTAATAAAAGAGGCATTCTATTTAGTTTCAATTGTAAAGTCATCGCCAATAAAACACCCCTTTTTGGGACTTTGTCTCAAGAGGTTTGTTCCTTACACAATCGTCTAATCCCTTTTTAATTGTTAACGACTACCCGCGCGAAACAATTTGACACGCCCGGTGGGACCTTGGTGTTTGGTGTTGGAAATACAAAAGGTGAAACAATATGCCTCAGAAATCTGATAAGGAAGCAAGTCAGGGAGGAGTCCAGTCTGTGATCGAGCGATATGAGGAGCATCATAGCTTTCCACGAACAGATGGACAGAATCAGAGCAGTCATAGTTGTTACGAACCAATGACAGAGTTGAGTCCTCGAACTATGCGTGCATTACTTATAGAACTCACACAAGATGTCGTTGAACAGGTAAATCTACGAAATATTCATAATATGGAAAGACTTACCCAGAATGGGAATGCACATTATGATAACATGGCCAAACAACTGAATACTTTGAATGAAATAATGAATAAGTTAGTAGGTCAAATTTGTCAGCCAGTCGTGCCTCTTACAAATCACTTCCAAACTAGGACAATTGTGGGACATAATCCCCCAGTCCTAAGTCCAAATCAAGGGATAGAATCACCTTTTGGTCCCTCTACTTCAAACCAGGGGATGGTGTAATACCAAATCAGAATAGTGGCAATGGTACATCTAACTTGGGGGGTAACCTAAACGTAGGAGACAATGTCTTAAATAATGGACAGAATGCCCCACGTGTTAATGATGGAGTAAATATTCAGGCTAATGGTAACAATGGCCCAAATCATGGCAACTTTGTTGCCAACCAAGGACCAAATATCAGGCATTAAGCAAATCAACCAGTCAACCAACCTGTAGGAATTCCATATGACCCCAACGTCATGTTGAGGAATCAAATTATGGAAATAATACAGGATCAGATGGCTTTTGGGATACGTCCTGTCATTAGGCCGATTTACACAAAGCCATATCCTGATTGGGTAGACCAAGCATATCCATGGCCTAGAGGGTATAAAGTGCCAGAATTCTCACTATTTACCGGTTTAGGAGAGGTGTCTACACTAGAACACATAGGGCGATTCACACTGCAAAGTGGTGACGTAACTGATTACCATAAAATGAGCATATTCCATAGTTCATTAACAGGAGTAGCTTTCTCCTGGTTCATCAATTTGCCAGCGAACTTTGTTCAAACATGGCAACAATTGGAGCAATTGTTCCACGCTCAGTTTTATAAGACCGAGTCCGAAGTTACTTTGGTCGATTTGGCGAATCTACATTAAATGCTAAACGAATAGACAGAAGGTTTCCTTCAAAGGTTCAAGACAGCAAGAAGTAAATGTTTTGTACCTCTGCCCGAAAAGGAGTTTGTCAAAATCGCTCAAGATTGTCTAAACTTTGATTTGAAAAAGAAGTTCCAAGACAAGGAATTTCCCGATCTTTTCCAATTGAGCGCGAACGTGATTAGGTATGAACGATTAATAAGAGAAGAAGAGCAAATGAAAAATTCTAGTAAAGGGACTTATTATAGAGACCCAAATTTTGATGTTCATACCACTAATGACGAGTATTACGATCAAATTGAAATGTGTTTGGCCGAACTAATCAAAAGAGACACGTATACCTGTCCTATAATGGCTAAGCCTAGACCGTCGAGCAAGGATGAGCCTATAAAAGATGAAAACAAAAAGGCTAGAACGTTCTCATTCGATGTAACCAAAGCTGACCTTATATTTGATAAACTATATAAGGATAAGCAGATAAAGTTGAGCGATAAACATAAATTGTCAAGCCCCGAACAAATTAAGGGTAAAAAATATTGTAAGTGGCATAATGCATGGTCACATTTGACTAATAACTGTTTGGTTTTTCGCCATGTGTTATAGGATGCTATTGAATCAGGACGAATTACGTTCGAGGATAAGAGGAAGATGGCAGTGGATGAAAACCCTTTTCCACAGCCACTTGGGGTGAACGTGGTGACGACTGGTTTCAAAAACAAGTTGTCAAAATTCAAGTTAGTTATAGATGACGGGGAAGAGGACCCTGGACCACATCCCAGTGTCTTTGAACGTATCAAAGGGAAAGAGCCTGAAAAGGATGAAGACGTCCTGTGTGCAAGATGTAAAAGAGAAGTGAGTGGGAATACAGAGAAACCAGGGATATGGCAGCTTCACCGTTGCCCTAGTTTTTTTCCAAACGCTCAGCCTGGTAAATGGCGAGGTACATCGTTCTATAGGAGACCGCCTTTTGAGAGGCAGTTCAGGCCAGTGAATAATGGGAGAACATTCAGGCCGTAGCCTCGCCAACCAAATGTATGACATTCGTTCCAGTATAAGGCAGAAAGGGCGATACCCTTCAACGAGATAACTAGAACCCAACAAAGACATTTTCAACGGAACTATGGACGAATGATGAGCCAACAACAGGGAATCCCACGTCCTAAGGCGCCTAAGCTACTTGAGGTAGCCAATCAAAATATTCTCGAAGATAGTGTGGAGACCGATACAGGTGAATCGATGAAAGAATTTCCAGAAATTTCTTCTGGAAGGTCGAAGTTTGAGCGAGACAGAAGAGATGGAGAAGATCCAGATCAGTTCCTTACTATTCAGTTCAGTATGTTACCTCCTGTCATGGCTAATAACTATTTGCTAGCCAATGAGTTCAAGAATAAAGAGACAGAAGAAGAAGAGAGGGAGGATAACGAAGAAGAAGCATGCGTGCTGGAATATGAAGAAAGTCAAACTTTTAGAGGGGCCTACGATGATGAAGGAGATGATGGTATGACGAATATCGAAGAGAAAATTGATTTGGAAGTAGAAAGAAGAAAAAGAGGAGTATCGTACAATACTCTATTGAAACAACTTCATCGAGAGGGAGTTCGTGAAGTGGGCTTGTTGGGGGAGCCGTCTGGGCGTTCTTTCGATTATTATGTGCTATACGGGACGCCCAAAAGGAAAAAGAGAGTGCCTCGCTCTGAAAAGTATGAATCACCTCCAAGAATAATGCCTCCTCCCACAAGTTGGGTAACTGAAGAAGAAGCATTAGAAAACAGTAAAAAGGAAATGGAAGCTCAGTACGACATGCTGTATGTTGACTTATCACAAAGGATAATTCGACAGAGAACAAGCAGGAAGTGGAAATAGATGCTGCCGAAAAGGTTATTTTTAAGCAGTCAGCCATGAAGTTAACTAAACACTTGAGGCCATTGTACGTTAAAGCTCTAGTTAACGGCATACCTGTGACAAAAGCGCTTGTCGACAATGGAGCAGCTATAAACACCATTCCATCTAAGATGATGAGAAAATTTGCAAAGACAGAAAACGATATGGTCCCAACAGAAGTCGTCCTTACGAGTTTCAATGGAGGAGTAACTTCAGCTAAAGGGATTATGCCATTGGACGTAACTATAGGGACAACTACTAGGACCACAGTCTTCTTTGTAATAGATGGTCCTACTAG